CCCATAACCTTTGGTTCGATAATTGTTGGGTGTGGAATAACCCATCTTCATGCCACATACCAAGGCGACTCCAACCACTGGATTCAAGTTAGCATTTGTTGAATATGCAGATCACTAGATTAACCAGCAAGTACTTCCAATCACATATATTGCCAAGACAGACAAGGGAGAGATTCCTACCCTGACAAGTCCCGTTTCAAAGCGGACCACCGCGATGTTGTAGCCATAGACCCTCACTGTGACCATGGCAACATAGGAGACTCGGCTGCTCCCGCGGTTCTCGTTCTTGGCCTCCACCTCAAAGGCAGGAAGAGCCTTAATGCTGAGGCAGTTTTTGGCGATGGTGTAGGTGCATGTGCCCATGAAGTCAAAGTAGCGCCCGTCAAAGGTGTGATAGTGGGGGTCACCCATAGCCCAGCAGGTCCCAGGTTCCCGGACTGGCTGCACACAAGTGGGTTCACCGTTGACAACCCTGCAGATCTCGTCCTGAACACACAGCAGACGACCACAGTCCAGAAGGGAGAGGCAGCCTGTGAGGCGAGAAGGCAGAACTCACGATAAGGGATACAGCTCCTCACACAAGTTCAGTGTCCTGTGGTGCATATGCCACTTAACTGCATCCAAACCATGGGTAAGCCCCAGATACTCCATTATACAGATGCTGGTAAGCCACAGAAAGCCTTGTCCATTCCACCCCCTCCGAATACAGAAGGAAAACTGTGGGATGAGCTTTTAAAGAGCACTTCACCCCAACTGCTATAACCCATAGAAGATGCAGTATACACCAATTAATCAATTCCACAGAAACTTCCGTGAAGTCATCAACGCTTTACAGGACACTCCACACAAAGCAAACGACAGGTAACGGGGACTCCACTCCATCACCACCAACATGTTGCACATACCTGGATGATGCCACACCACACACCAGCTGTCAATGAGGAAAACTAGTTGCCAGGACCTCAGTTTTACACCACCTCTAAAGAGCAGTACCCTTTTTACAGTATCAGACCAATACTAGCATACAATAGTGTAGTTCCCTCTGCATCCCCAGAGAAATAAGATCAAAACTGTGCACCTGGACTTCAATATCACACAAGATTAGGATGTTTAATATTAAAGAAATGAACACATGGTCTTCAACACCAGATTCAAAAAAAAAAAATCAGTAACAGAGCCACACCGGTATTATGTGTATAGAACTGTTTAGTTTGCAAAAAAAGAAAATTGTCATGTTGTGGAAGTTTGTGCGTTTTCTTTTATTTGTATGAGAGAGAGATTAATGAGAAAAAGTTTTGGTTTACACCATTAGGAGACCACACTCTTCCTGATCAGCATACATGGGCTGGAATATACAGACATGTAGAGACCTGCATACCTCATTATGGCCATAATCAGTAGCACCTTGTGTTGCTTCTGACCAGCTGGACTGAACACTGGTCACCCAATACAAGCAAACTGCTTCAGCCAGTAGTGCAAGGCTCAGTTTCTGTGAAGTCCTTGTGTCCACAAGGAGAGCAAGTCTTACCTGTGAGCAGCACAGCTGTAACACAATGAAGTAACCACATCGTCATGCTGGGAACCAAAGCACATGGGCAGCCAGTCACACCTGTAATACAAGGGAAAAAACAGGGAATCCCAAAACACTTTGCCTGTGGATCCTTCTTAACATGTGAAAAAAGCTCTGCCACCAAGATGTCTTTTCAGCATGGAATAAGCCTTTACCTGTTCCTTTGCAGCCTACGTACTGTATACTTAATCCTAAAATATAACATGGGGAACACAGACACAGAAGATTGAGCCAAAATACACCACTGCATTCCTGATGCACACAAGTACTGTATATTAGCCCAATACATCCATTCTGCACCTTTCTTAGTCAATGTAGTTTCCTGCCCCCCCCAAGAAGACAGCAAGACTTCCACTTCCACCAGATCGGCTACCACTTTGCATCCTAGCCTCCCAAGACCTATTAGCTCCCTCAGTTTACAGGGATATGCCTCAAACCTATACATTTCAGCAAGGACTATTTCAAGAGTCACTTCAAATATAGAAGGCAAACATCTGCTCAAGTGGAGAACTACAAAGCTCTACACTGCCTGCAGTCCTCCATGCAACAGCAGCAACAACGATTTTCATACTCCACGTCCATTCGCCAGTTTAGAACGGAAATAGCGGATAAATTGAGGAGCACGAGTTTTATAATTGCTATCGGAACGGGCTACGCTTCGGAAACCTGCTAGGCGGAAACCATGCACAATGCATTCAATATCAATGCAGCAGCGAGTCCAAGAAACAGAGCAACCTTAAGGGCCTATCAGAAGCTTACCGTAGCGACACACAGTACACTCAACTGTACAGAACGATAAGCAGCACCTCTGGGGCGTTTCCCTTAAATAACGACTCCACCGCGGCCACCTGCTCATTAATCGCGGAGTGAATCCGCTCAGTCTGTTCAGCTGTCTCCGCACTTCATCAGGCGAGCAAGTGGACACTGGACGAGCTGCGTGTTTCTAATTGAAATTAGTCAAGGACTGGTGCTCTACAGAGCCACAGCATCTTCGAAGTGAAATCATAATATCTGAGTTATCACAATCTTACTCAATTCGACCCGATGTACGCTTCTTTCTTCTTTATTCGCACGTTGAACGTGACTAGTGATTAAAGAAAAATGTCCCCATCTAATCAGACGGAAGTAGTTCTTTTTTGTCTAACAAATGTAGCTTGTGCGCCCCTCATTTGTTTTCTACAGTACGTTCTGTTGTTTTCTTATTAGAAAACGTCAAATGGTGAGAATCTATTTTTTTTGATGAATTGTGATTCCCGCCGTAAATGTATTTTTATTGTGAGAGTTTCCGACATCACATTTTTCGAAACCCCATTTCGGCTTTAGATAACAATTTCCTTGTTTTGTAAAGGCACCGGGGTTCTGGTGTAGACACACTAACAACTAGGTACCTCACGTACGGCTTTAAGGACTGCGTCTGTATGCCAAGAAAATGTTGTATTTGTGACTTGTGCGCAATGCAGTGGTCTATATGACAAGTTGTAGCATCCTAGCAACAGGCCAAATTTCTGCGCCACCCTGGTGAGATTACAGCAATAAGCACACGGGCGTCTGGCTCTGCTGTTCCATGCAGGAATGGGAAACTAAGCTACCAAGTGTATAAACTCAGTTACCTTACTGAGACAGTGGGCTCTCAGGATGAAGTAAAGCACAACAGCAAGTTCCAGCACAGGGGTGGACGATCCAGTGTCTGGAGAGCTGCTTTCCAGCCCCTGTTATAGACTGATTTCCACTGTCGGAGGATAAGCAGGCGCTGGTTTAGTAAGTACTGGGATGGGAAAACTTGAAAGAAATCAGGTTGCTGCTGTTAGTGGTGAAGGCAGCCCAGTAGGTGGTGCTCTTCCCAGAGCAATAGACTTTCCAAACCAAAGCTCCAGTCTGGCAGCACTGTGCTACAGGTGAATGAGACTTTAATAGTGGTCCAGACTACATACAGTCTATTAAGATCCCATGGTGCTTTTCATGAGATTATTCCATTCTGATACCCTGACTATGCTCCCCTTTAGGCTTGCTCTGTCTGGTCAGTCTCAGCTTCTCTCTTTATTCAGTTGGTTAAGGAACTCAGCACTGTGAGACAGATGTTTGGGTTGGGTAATATCCACTTGCAGAAGTGCTGTGCGTGATGACTAATAGTTACCTGAGAAAGGCAGGTCAGGAGATCAGTGGCACAGTCATGAAAGGACGGCAGTCAAATACGCCCACAAAAGCTGTTTCAGGCCGGAGCTCAGTCCCAGCACATGTGAGGTAGGGTACTGGCTACAGTGACAGACAGTAGAAAGCAGTCTTCATCTGGAATTGCACATGTTCTGTGTGCAAGTTTAAAGTGGATAATGTGTTTTGTTAAGGTTGTAGAAGAACAAGGACAGTCACAGTATGGACAAGCGTCAAGCTTGTTTATTTCTCTACCACACTGTCATTGCACTAGGAGAGCACTGATTTTACAGGACAAGGAAGTCATGTATGGTGTTTCTTCCCTTTTCAGCATGGAATTAACCTTTATTTGTTTCTTTGCAGCCTATGCATGCTGACACAGCTACCTACTTGAACTACATATAGGGTCAACTGCAACGAACTTGCCGGTGTAGCACAGAGCCATATAGTCAGTTGAGCACTCGCTAGTACAGTCCTGTCTGAGTATCACCCCCAACTGTGTGCTCCGTTGCAGCGCAAAGACCTGCAGAACAAAGCTGGAGACCAGCTGATCCCATTCTCTGTATGGTACTTTCAATTAAGCATCTATAATAAAGCACTCCAGGTGAAGGCATGTAACTAGCTGTGAGATAGTCTATCAATCTTGGTGCGGAACAGGAAAGAGGGAGCTGCTGTTAGTACTGTATGTGATAATGTGGTGAATCCCAGTGGCTTTAATTTTCATTTCATTAAAAGCACTTTATACACTCAAGAGAATTCATTGGTCATTTATTTTTTATGATAGGCCCAAGCTTTATGTGTATGAAATTGTATAAAGGTAAACCTCATATGCTTTCTTGTGCTACATGTTGCACTTAATCTTAGTGTTTCCTAATTTTTCTTAGAGGTTTTCTAATTGATGTCTGTGGGTCCTGAATGTTCACACTAGTTGGATCTGTACAGTTTTGATAATGACCCTCATTTTCTGGATTAAGGTATTGGAGCCTCGATTGTGATCCAGGATATTTTGTGTATATACCCCCCTTATGTTTAACTACATAAAATACCACATTGTACCCACCGTACCCCTGTTTCTCAATATTACTGCTGCCACAAGAACCACAGTCTTTTCACAATAGTGAAACAAACACTCACTAAGGATGCGACTGGACAGGCTCATTAAGAGTCTTGGCAGTTTTAGTTCTATGTACAGTATTTGCCTAGATTTCAGT